AGAAAGAAACTCTGCGAGGACAGTGCTAATGGCAGTGTGATATCACTTGAGTTAATTTCAGATGTCTTGCTTACCCTAACTGACATACGAAAAGCACTCTCAATTTCAATGTACATCCCTGCGGTGCCAGAGCTGCGCAGTGATGCTCACTGATACAGTGCACGCAGCAACATAAAAATCTATGGCCAACTGCCATGCACTTGTTGTTGTTGCTGCCGATGATGCTGCGTAGCATTTAACTGCTGTTTTTGTTGTTCATACAAAAGCCGTTGTTGCTGTTGTTGTTGGTGCTGCAACAAGTACTGCTGTTGCTGGTCGTAAGCGAAGTGCTGTTGTTGTCGATTGTGTGGTGCTCCAGCCGAAAGAGGTGAAAATGCTGATGAACCAGCAGCAACCGATGACGGTACAGACTGCTGTTGATAAATGGGCTGTTGTGAGCGCATTTGGCCATACACTTGTGGAGCATTTTGAGGCAAATGACAAGTTGGCATCAATGTGCTCGCTTTTGGAATATCGCAGTATGCTGGTACAGGATAGCTATACGGATTTTTCAAAGGGTTTTGTTGCTGCTGCTGCTGCTGCACTTGCAGCAAATCATGCGATCCGTGATGGACTGTTGCAGCGTACGGATACGACTGCGGATTCTTGTAAATAATCGGAGATTGCCCAGGAGGATAAGAATAACTCGGAGAGTTAGTGGAGTGTCGCTGCGCTGCTGCTGCCGGCAACTGAGTCACGTCAGCAGGATACTTGGGTTTTGGGACGGAATGTAACGATGATGCGTGGCTCGAGACAGCCGCAGGCACAGCTGAAGAATTGCCCTGTTCAAGCCAAAACTGTTGCTGCTGGTCGGATGTGTAGCTGCTGCTAGTTTGGCTAAGTGGACATGAGACCGTGGTGATGATTTCTTGCATAGCTCGCTCAAGCGGTGAAAGCTGCTGCTGTTGCTTGGGTAAATCTGTACAATGAAGAATAGGAGCTCGCCTAAAACAACTTTAAAATTCAAAACAATAAAACTACCGAAAAGAAGGCACGTCTCTTTCGTATTTCGCTTAAATGAGGAAGTACTTGAAAACATCTGGAGTTACAGCACTTTACCATCAATAGACGTTCGTTATGAAAGCTACTGATGATCTTCTCTCCCGACGGTAACTTGGAAAAAGACTGAAAGGGACAGAGACCCCAAAAATGATCGACATGTCAGAACTAGTTTGCCGTCCTGATAATTCAAAAATCTACAGACAGAGTGATTCTTTAATGGCAAGTGTGGGAGTGGGGTCGGAGCATGAAAACGTATACGATTACCAAAGCTACGAGAAAAGAAGAACTGCAGAAATTTTTAATAATACAGTGAGGAACTACTGATTTGTATGGCAACTTACAAATCGGCATCAGCACCAGATAAAACATCCTGATATTGCTGAGCAGCATTTGATGACGACTGCATGTACGAGGACTGTGCTGTGGCCTGGATGACATGGATTTGCTGCAGCTGGTTTTGCGGAACAGTACTGCGCGGTGCTGGCGATGTTTCCAGATAAGTGCACGAGGATGACGATGCAGAATGCGCACTGCTTGTCGAACCGGGGCCTTGCGGTGAACAGTGTGCACCGGACAAAACCATCGTCTCGAAAAACAAGAATTCTCTATACAGCAACATTCATCTCAAAGTCTTGTGTTCTACAACGGATTCTCTTCCTCGCCACTACA